AGCGGCCCTTCACTTGGCAGCTGTCGCGCGCACAGACGCTGCGAGCGTTGCATGAATGGTGCTGCCGAGCCGAGTGCTCCTTGTTTTTCACCGCGCCGATCCTCGGAAACCGCAGTGCGGAGAGTGAGAGCAAGTGGCATGTGGGAAAAAACGTTCACGCTGTGGGGACGATGTGGGAAAAAGGGGAAAGTGCTTCTTCTCTCCCCGCGTACGCGCCGAGAGGAACTGGACACTCTGGGAGCAAGCTCTACGAAGCAGCGGCGTCCAAACTGCCAGCATTGCGACAAGAGGTTGAATATGAATGGAGAGATGCCTACCCAAGAGTCGAGTAACGAACGGTTTGATCAGCGAAGCCACGCGCGACTGCTTTTGCCGAAGCACTGCTGGACAAACCCCCTTCCCTCCCGAAAAGACCCAGAGAGTACCGGATGCGAACCCAGAGAGCCAGTACCGCCACCGACGTTTCCGCCATCACCGTCTGCCGGTCCGGCGGCCACTTGGTGTTCCAAGGTCCTATGGCAGCCGGTCCATTGTGTGAGCCCTCCGCGGGGAAAGGGTTTCTGTGTATACCAACGGCGTGCGAAGTGCGGTTTTCTGGGAAGCAAGGGTGGAGCAAGGATAGAGTTCCGTCTCCCCTTTTTTGCTTGTGTTTGCTCTCGTCTTAATGACGTCTATTAATCTTCCGCCAGAAAGGACTTGCCGAAAGCCGGACCACAGACGGTTCATCATCCAAGCGTGATCGTCACACAGTCAGCCTTTCTCGTGCGGCGTATACCCTCGACTTGATTGATCACGTCGCGCTTCCCTTGTAATTCCGCCACGCTTGACAACTTACATAAGCTGTGTGCTCGGGAAGCTGGGGAAGTGAGCTTCGTGCGGACGAAGACTATTCCCCAATAAGCATGCGGATAGACTTCAATTTTTCCTTGTATGGAACAGATGCGACGTCAGCTTTTGACTATATGTAGCAGTCCTTGTAAGAATACACAGCCGCTGCCAACTGCACGGACGTTACAAGCCTTTTCACGCTTCGTTCTACTGTCATTTTCTCACGAGAGTCATGTAAGATGTCGAAAATGTATGAGGCTGCTTTATTGACCGAATAGTCGTACTTTGAGTGCTGGCCTATTATTGTAAACTAAAACCGATCGTTTAGTTAGCCCGTGGTACACTGGACAGTACGAGATTGTCCGAAGCGGGAACAGTTGCATGCCTGTCACTTGTACGCACGTCTCGCACCCTGCGGTCCCACCGCAGAGCAGGGAACGTGCGTAAGAGTGACAGAAGGCGGACACACTGTAGATCGTCGAGGTTTAAAGGGTCGCATGCAACTTGAGTCTTAATTGATGCTTGCGCAAGTTCTGGAAGCCTACCTAGACGCTTAGTAACTGTCTTAAGAATAGTTCCCGCTTGGACGAACGACCTCATACTGTCGATGTGCCAAAAGCTAACTAAACGATCGTCCTTTTGCTGCGTAAAGAGCACAACGCACATAGCTTCGACCCTGAGCAGCCCAGAAAGACCCACGCGTTTTTTAGGGATCGACTTCACAAATCTTTTCTTTCCTAAGTACAGTCATCGATTGGCCGGTCTCCTTCGCTAATGAGATGTCCAATAGAAGGATTTGCTGAAATTTTATCCCACGAAGATTTCTAGCGTAAGGTGTTTTTGTGAATACGGGCCCGGAACTTCTCCGAAGTAAAATTTGAGTGCCACGTCCAGCATATGCGCTAAACTTAATTAAGCCATTATTGTCTTCTTTCTATATCACTCCATCTCTTCTCCCATCCATATACCGAGGGCAGCAAAGTGGACAAGTCCGAATCTCGCTGTCCTTAACTTATTACCAATCTCTCACTCTTTCCGTTTCTCTTTCCCTCTTTATACACGAGTTACTTGTGCGACTTGTACGGTGGCGTGCAACTTGAGCAAATCACTTGAACCCCACGTATATTTAATACTGGGCCGGCATAACGAAACGATTCCTTTCTCACTCTTATTATGTCTTGTTTATGATGGTTCTTCAGAGTCACACGGTACGTGGGCGCATTGATGCGCTGACCTCTTACGGAGCGCGAAGACGAACTTTATTGGAGCAGGGCTTTATTTCGGTTCCAGGACACGAGCGCATATACTATACTCCAAGTCCATCGCGTCGTATCTGTGAATGGCGACGCCGAGTTGACGCTTTATCTCTCGCGTAGCCTAGGAAAGAAGCGTCAACTGGCTGGCATGGTTCTCGCTCTGTTAGGGGTCGCGGAGTGCGGGCGCTCTATTTTTGGGACCGTTGCCGTCCGCCTCGCTGCTTCTTTTTTTTTTTTCGGGCGTTGCCTCGCCAGTTTCCTTTCTTTGACTTTTCTCCTCCACGGCTGCAGCTGGCCCGAACGTCATCGGCGATTCATGAATGGCTCGCTACCCTCCTCCTCCTCATAACTCTCTCCCCGTTGTGCTCCCATATAAGCCCAAGCGTCGTTGCTGTGCTGAGAGCGCTTGTCTCATCATAGAAGTAGCACAGAGCAGTGCCGTAATGGCGATATAAAAAGCAATTGAAACAAGCGTTTCATCACAGACTTCAGTACTATATTACAAAGAAGGAAATCTTAAGCTAGCGCAACTCTGCAGTGACTGCCGTATGTGCCGTGGCTTCAGGCTTCTGGCTTCTGACGGCACCCTTGAAGCCCGTATTCCATCACTTTGTTTGAATTTTCAATAATTATTACAACATTATTGGTTTTTTTTGCTAGCTTCGATCACTCAACTGATGCTTACAACAACAGTTCTTCGAAATATAAACAAATGTCTATCTAAGGTAGGAATAGACCAAGCGACACACGTATTCTATAACTCGTCAAAGTTCATATATCCTATACTGCAACGTTGTATACCATTATATACAATAATCCTCTACGTTTCGGTATAAGATTCTTACGGGAAAATACGGTAGGAATAGGGAAAATATGATGCTCGGCACAAACTCCAAACTAATGCGTTCCCCAACCTTGCATTTCACCACACTTTTTACCCTGCACAGTATCCTGATCGATACACTTCTGCTGGAGGGCATCCCAGCTTGTACCATTGTACAAGGAAATGCCGCGAATGCACCATCGCCATGGGAATGCCCCGAACCACCCGGTCTACCTAGAATACGGTACACCCAATCCCTTTCTTTCATAGTGGTATGCCGGTCTTTCCAGCACCACCCTGGACGATCAGCGATAACTGATTGACTGGGTTAGGCGGAGAGCAGAAACATGCGGGGCCCCGGACTGAGGGCTCCACCCCTCGGGACTACACGCGAAAAACTGAAATAAAGTTTTCTTCTCCTGCTATTCAGAAAACAGGCACATATTCAGTGAAAAAACACATGGAATTTCGCATTGGCATATTGAACGTCAAGCGAGGTACTCCCGAAAAAAGAAAACACGTGATCAGTTGCAATCTTCTGAATGAATAACCCTTGGCTGCGTTAAAAAGACTTTCCGGAGCTGCACCGACCGCTAGTCAATGTAGGCTAGCTTGTAATAATTGCTTACGTTTTGCAATGAAATTGAGATTGATTAAGAAAAAACTAAACAGCAATAAACGTTATAAATGAGCTACAATTGTATATGTCAAATCGCACATTACTTACAAAGACAGCTGGTAGCTGACTTACACGCCGAAGGAGACCCGTCAAGTACTTTCTCTACATATTTGACAGCAATACGGGTTATGGATTCCGACAGAAGGAAGGACACAGAGCTTTATGTCCGCATCTAACCCGTGGCGCCGTCAAAGATTTCACGATGAACATCCACCCACTTGTCCAACTTGCTATTCTGCTTCAACGAGTTACTTCCTTAACCCCCCCCCCCCCCTCCTATCTCCTTATGAGTGATCTGGCGCTAGTGTCTATGGGAGCTGCAACGCCAAGCATTGCAGCCCCCATTGAAGCACCAGAGTTCCTTCTTGCTTATTGTTAGGAAATTTTATGGGTCGAAACCCCCTGCATATCGGAAATTTCAACCACCTGGGGTTCTTTAACGTGCACCCAAATGTGAGCGCACGGGCTTACAGCATTTTCGCCTCATCGAAAATGCAGCCGCCTCAGCTGCGATTCGATCCCGCGACCTGCGGGTCAGCAACTCAGTACCTTAGCCACTATAGATCAGAGCGGCGGAGCGGTATGTTTAAAGATTCAACTATCCAGCTAACCGTGTCAATAATAATATTGCTGCTGAGGGTTTACGTCCGAAACCCATGATATGATTATAAAGGATGCCGTAATGAAGGGCTCCGAAAATTTCTACCAGGCTGCTGGAATTCTTTAACGTACGTGTACCTAAATCCGAATATACAGACCTCCAGCATTGCGCCTCCATCGAAATGCAGCCGGAATTCGATAACGCCACCTGGATGTCGAGCACCATGAGCACCATGTGCAAACCATGCATGCGAGTTGTTGTTGTTGTTGTTGTTGTTGTTGTTGTTGTTGTTGTTCTCCTATTGTTAGTGGCGCGTACCCACTGTGGGGGATTGGCCAAGAATCGAGTGGTTTTAAAATTTACTGTTCAGATTTGGAATGATGGAGGTTTAACAGAAAGATTAGCGATAGCCTAGGAAAGTGCAGTGCTTAATGTAATGCACACAAATATTGCCTGTGCAAGCCATGTCGGCAAGCTGGTTGATTGGTTGGATCCTATAGGGATGGCTCTACACACCACGGGGTATCAGCCACGAACCTCCTGCATTTGCTTTGCATGCATGTGGCTCGCTTTTCGTTTGATCACCCTCAGTTACAGTGTTGAATATTCTTTTTAGTGGAGTTACGTAACAAAAGCTTTTTATTGTTGCGTATTCTAAATGCTTTGGCATCCCTTCTTCGTCTTCGTCCTTTCGTGCTCGAAAATGCACGTGCCCGCTTAGTTCCGCACATTGCTCCAAGCCTTGCAAAAGAAGAACAGCACATACCACTGGAAGCTGGCCTGTACTGCGACCGCTGGTGCAACGAGTCAAACATGCCGCAGTTACCGCTGTTACCGTGGATCACGTGGCGTCGGCGTCGGTCCCGCTTCGTGCTGAAGTTCTGCATCGCCTTCATGATCGCCTTCACACTGTTCATCATTTGGAAGGACGCGTGGTACCATCACTCCAAGTCGGCGGCCTCTGCTTCCGGTGCGGCCAGAAAGGGCGGCCCCAAGCGCCCACGCCGTTCCACCCAGAAGTCGGCCAACAACGCCTGGAAGTGGATGCCGAGCACCGAGGGAACTGCGGTCTCCTTCTACGACGCTCTCTCAACGCCCGACGCGGTCATGGACGGCCCGGAAGACCCGTCGGGTGACGACGAGGAAGAGCGCGAGTTCATGGCTCGTATTCGCCAAGACTGGGGACGGGACGGCAGTGGCGTGTACCTCTCAGGAGCCGAGAAAGTGAAGGCCGACAAGGAGTTCAGCAAGGCTGGCTTCAACGCGTACGTGAGCGACAGGATACCGCTGAACAGGACGTTGTTCGATAACCGGCCGCGTCCATGTCTGGTGACGACGTACCCAAAGGACTTGCCTTCAGTAAGCGTCGTCATCACCTTCTACAACGAGATCCTGTCGGCGCTGCTACGTACCGTGTATAGCATCGTGAACCGGAGCCCGCGACGCCTCCTTCGCGAGATAGTGCTCGTGGACGACTTCAGCGACCTGCCGGAGGTCAAGTCGCCCCTGTATCGATTCCTCAAGCGCCACTTCCGGCCGGGCTTCATCCGCCTGCTGAGGCTGTCGCAGCGCGAGGGCCTGATCAGGGCTCGACTCGCTGGCGCCAAGGCGGCCCTCGGTGAAGTGGTCGTCTTCCTCGATTCCCACTGCGAGGTGCACGACGGTTGGCTCGAACCCCTGGTCACGGTCGTCAGCGACGACCCGACCACCATAGCGAGCCCGGTCATCACCATCATCAACGAGCAGACGTTCATGCACCAGGTACGTGAGTTGGCTCTGTAACTATAACTACTTCCCGAAATTGCAACAAGACGAATGTTTAGGGGCACAGAAAAAAAACACATAATAAATCAAGAAAAACATAACAAATAAACATGGGGGCTGAATCAGAACATGATGCGATGCCGTTGAACAAAAAAAAATTTTCTGGAACCAACGTTTATAGAAGGGGACCTGCCTTCATTGCTGCAACAACGATTTGATCTATGCGACATTACTTGTTCGGTGACTCAAAATTTTTGTTGCTGAAAGACGCATTTAAGGAAGCTAAATGACAAGTTCCATGCCAGTTTCTGCGCTGTGGCCCATGCACGCGCTGTTGAATATTAACTGGTTCTAGAAGCAAGTGCTACCAGGCAGTCTTTCTCATATTTATCAAGTTCTACGCCATTATTTAAAATGAAATTAACTTAAAATATTTCAAGCTGTGTGGGCAAACTACTGTTCTTGAAATGTTATTTCTCGCGCAATGCTTGAGAGTCCTGAGAAAAGAGACAGAGTCACATAGGAGCTGTTACCAACAGTTTATTGACGGCAAAGGCTGAAAAACAAGTAAAGTTACAGGCATGCGGAGTGGCGTGAAACAGTGACGTCAACGATGTCACCACGTAAGCTGTCCTCTAAAATTTCTGTCCTTCCTTTGAAGGAAAGAGGTCGTTTTCTTTGTTAGCCCTACTTTTATTGAGAAGAAACAGACAATGAGTGTAGGAGTAGTCCTTGCGACTGGCTCACAGCAACTTATTGACTGTAAGTTCTGAACACACGGTGGTCCTGAATAATATCCTGTCTCACCCCCCCCCCCCTCCCCCCTTTTTTTTTGAGCGCTTCAAGCATTGCGCAGAAATACCATGTTTAGCAGAGTTGCGCTGCAGCTCGCCCGGGAACAAGTATACTTGTAAAATGGTTAAACAAGTTCCGCCGTCCTACAATTAAACAAAGAAGCCTCTGTTGCATGTACGAAGATAAGAGTTTAAGAAATTAAAAGTTAAAGACGGAGGGTGACGCCGCTTTAATGTTACTTCATCGCTTCGTGACGTCACTGAATTTGATGGCAGCTGTTTGGGTTTAGTCCATTTTTGAATTCGTGAGACATCACCGTTTGGGAGGGAACTTGGGAACAGCGCTGTCCTTGAGCCACAGTAATCCAAGTAGGGCAAATACATTCAAACCTGTGACGTGGCACTTATATACCGGCACTGGTGTTACGGTGAAAAGCTTTAAAAATAATAACATCGACTTGCATTGTCCCTTCGAATGCTCGGCCTATACCCGCCACTCAAACACATTTTGCCGTTTCAAAGAATGCATTATAAGTCCAGCCTGATGACGTGCTCCTCTGTCTTCTCAAACTTGAATTCTCAAGTTTATGAATGCACCAGCATATGAGAATATTGTTAATGAAGATATTGTGAACCAAATATGGTGGGAAAGCGCACTTCTCTCCGAAATGGAGGCCTTTGCGTCAGTGTAAGTCATAGTATCTGAAACAGTTAAACACTTAGCATTTTTTGCGACAGCTACGGTTGACAAGCCAAGTTACTGCACTGCGAGCGAAGAGTGAACGATAGCTAATAACTGTGCTGGCAGCTGTTATACCTCATGCGTCCTTTTTATGTCCCCAAAGTGTTCTGAATGTTTTCGGGTTCGACCATATAGCAATGCCCTGTTCATTGTTTCAACTTGCGCCTGCATGTCCGTGTCACTGCTTAATACTTTCGAATGACAAAGTACCATTGTTTTGCCATACATTATCACGTTCTCCCGCTTTGTACTCCACGCAATCACTCGCACAAAAAACCAACCCGCATGCGTGCACTTATCCTCATTTATCCTCACAGCCAATGGATTCTAGCGTTTTTTTTTTTTGTATCTTCGTCTGCATCAAGACATTCGCTTCGGAAACGTTTAAGCCGTATTTCCCAAGAAGCGCGCCACGTGCCAAGAATTTTCGAGCGAAGCACGGCAATTCATAGCGTTTATATAGCAATCCACGAAAGCGTCCAAATCACCGGCACGCATATCCGTCGGGTTAACGCAGGCCCGCATACGCGTACGCCGGCGCTTTTGACACGTTACGTCATCCCTGCGTAAGAAACGCCTGCGCGAAAGCACTGCACTCTGTCGGGCTGGCACGCTACCGTATACGCGTGTTTCGTTAAAGTCCACTTACGCGCTGAGTCACGCGCGTAGGAATGCATCAGCGCTCACACGGAAGGTCCTCTACGAGAGGCGGCAAGGAAAACGGGACGGCGCCGGCCGGACGGCCCACCAAAGACCTCTCTCCGGGACGGCCTTAGCAACCGTCTGGCCGTCGCAAGCGTTCGTGCGAACGCGCGCCCATTTTCCGCGCAGAAATCGAGAAACGCCACAATGAATACCTCGCGACGTGACGTGTTAAAAGCAATAGCGCGCGGCAATGGGCGCAATCGCGATATGCCGCCGGACCGGCCGGTCCTCGGCGTCCGAGGGCTTGTGTAAACTGGGCAGCCGCCAAGGCGCCGTCACTTCATCAATGAAAGAGCCTTGATCGACAAACTTGGCCCTCTCTCCGCAATCGCTTCGTCTTTCCTCGAGTGCTGGGAGCCAGTCGCAAAAGCTACTCCTCCCTGATTACGTGTACGGCCAGTGCAAAGAAAGAAAAAAAAACAAAAAAAAACATTCGAACGCACGTGGTGGTCTCGACGGGGCACCGGGCGACCTTCGCGCTGTCCGCAAGGAGCGTTCTCGCTCGCGCAGGTGTCTCTGCGCGAGCGGGCGTCCGTAGTACGTGTTTGTATAGTACGTAGGGTATACAAAGTAACCGCTGAAGCCGATTTCCGGAGTTTCTGCGCCTGCATCCTTCCACACCTTTCGCCGAAGAGCAAGAGTTACACAATCCGTGGCCTTGGCACTGTCCCCTGTGCCACCTCGCGTTTGTTGCTGGCTTATCGCTTCTCCTTTTCTTCGTCTTCGAGTCCCTTTGTTTCTTTCGTTCGTCCTGCCCCGGTCTCGGCCTTCCAAAGTTACCGAGAACGCGGCCCAGGTGTCGTAAAAAAATGGGAGGGAGGAAATCCGCGCACGACACGGCATGATTCAGCGTCCCGAAAAGGATTTCTGCTGTTTTTCCTCCCCGCACCGACGACGGCGACCGCTGAGACCTTAGCGAGAGTCGTAACAATCGGCTGTCGTCAAGAGCCGCTAGCATTCTTTTCTTTATTCTCATCTCTTCCTTCTTCCCTTTGCGTGCCAGCACCCTTGAATCCGAATGCATTAAAGGCGCGTTATACGTGGGAGGTCGCCCCCTTCCTCAGAGGACGGGAACGCGCGCGTCTCCGCTGCCTTGGCCTCCTGCGCGTTTCGCGTAGCCTTTCCCACGGCACGACTCGGGTGTCTCGCCGCTGGGCTGAGGCGGCGCTGGTGACGCCACGAATAGTGAACTTTCTCTAAAAGCGTTTTTGCTCGATAGAGGCACGCAAATTCCCGGCATGAAATCGTCGACTGGCCTGCCACTCGTAGCTTTGGCAACGTATGACTTCAACACGATAAATCAACCGCGGCGAAGACGTTGTCAGCGAGGATACTAATTGTTTGGAACGATGACAAAAAGGCCCAAAGACCGAAGGTGGAATTGGGGGGGAGGGGGGCGTTCATATTTTTGCCCCGAATTTCGTTTCAATTTCAGACGTTATTTAGACACGCAAGCATATAACCTCTCTCTCTCTCTCTCTCTCTCTCTCTCTCTGTGGGGAAAAAAGTTACTGGTGACGCCCCTGCCAAGCACCTTTCTTACAAAACCAGAAAATGTCAACTTGAACGATGTTTTAGGAATGATTTTCAGTGCTTTTTTTAATGAATTTCATGCATTAGGAACAGACGGTTACTATTTTCGAACTATGCGATCAGGTAGTATCAGTCGCTGAGCGATTGTACCGCGTTGTGAGTACATCTAAAGTGCATTATCAACGTAAATTACGATAAAACCTCCTAAAATGTCTATTTGTAAATTTTAACGGTCGTCACTATACTGTAACATTAGCTGGTTAGTTTTCGTTCACGTGTTATGTATAAGTAATAGTAATATATTAAGTAAATAAAAATTCACGGGAGCTGCAGTAAACCATTATAGGCCTAATTAATGAGTACACGAATAAGCAGCACTTGTATTATGCACGAAACCGTGCGGTCGCACGCGGGAACACTCTTTTCCTTTTTTCCCATCTCGCTGTCGGGGAGGGGGGGGGGGTGTCCAGGATTTTTTCGTTATTTTTCTTGACGCTCCTCCACTGGCAAAATGGAAATTAAAATTGACTCGGAAGGCATGCGACCACAAGGATTATACGTAACGACAGGAGGTGCATGTGCTATATGTTTATATGTTTGCTTTATACTATATGCAACGGTGCGACGCAGGGCGGCGGCGACTTCTTCATACAGCTGGGCAGCTTCCAGTGGGACGGCGACTTCACGTGGATCATGCCACCGCCCGGATGGCGCAATCCGACGGACCCTGTACGGCCGCTGCGCAGCCCAACCATCGCGGGTGGCCTGTTCGCCGTGGACAGGCGCTACTTCTTCCAGATGGGTGGCTACGACCCCGGCATGAACGGCTGGGGAGGCGAGAACCTCGAGCTCTCCTTTCGTATCTGGATGTGTGGCGGACAGCTCGTGGTCGTGCCTTGCTCGCAGGCGAGTGCATAGCCTGACAGCATATAGCAACGAGTCTGGCATATAGCCTATTAGTAATGGCTAAAGTGTGTGTCTGCAATGATGAGTGTGTGCAGTGACCGGTCACAGGTGCACGTATTCATCGATCCGCACTATCTGTAACCTGCACAGGCTCGAAGATGGCTTCCGGGACATATATGTCTGCGAAGCTTACAGATGACTATAGTATTGACGTCATCTCAGCCGCCATGTTAGGAAGGCCAGAAATGTCGGAACGTTGCGTTTGTTTCGGTCAGCCGCGGTGACACTGCAGCTCCAAGTTCACACCCAGCAGCAGGTTCCAGTTACACTGTGGCGACATTGAAGCAAGTGTCTCGTGACATTAAATCTGAGGCACCGACATTATGTAGCCATACCATGTTAGAGCGCTGGTACGCCTCGTGCTGAAGTCGCGTACGTGTCGCCAGTATAGAGTTTATCTGTCAAACACGCGGATAGTTGTCTCTATAGAAGTCGACGAACACTGTCGGTTCGAGCGCTGTGAGCCCGCAAATATGTGGATCTTCCGTAAGCTTCCATGTTATATATTTCGTGTTGGCTCAGTCTTCAAGAGAGCTGTTCATGGTGTCATGTTCTGTACACATATTGTCGGTTGTGTAAACCAAACTGTCACCTTCTCATAGACAATATTTGGAAGTTTGAGGAAAGCTGTGCTCTTCCTTCCTAGCAGGATTTATCATCATAAGTTTAACTTGCCTCCTACCGTAACAAAGAGTTGTGTTCTGCAAGTGACCCGAAGATCACAGCAGCCTCTCCTCCCGGCACTTTTTTACATTTTGTATGTATGTATATGTATGTATGGTATGTATGTATGTATGTATGTATGTATGTATGTATGTATGTATGTATGTATGTATGTATGTATGTATGTATGTATGTATGTATGTATGTATGTATGTATGTATGTATGTATGTATGTATGTATGTATGTATGTATGTATGTATGTACGCTTGCTTGCATGTATGTATGTACGTATGTACTTATATACATACATATTACATACATAAATACGCATGTATGTATGTACACGCACACAAACACGTACGAATATACTTAAAGAGGTTCGGGCCGCACTTCTGAAATAAATTTCCGTCTACATCCACGGATAAAATATTGGCACCACAAATTCGCGTCTCGTAAAGTAAGCTCCCATCCGCATAGGTACTGAAGAAATTTATTTACGCATATGACTTGGTACAAAGCTTTTTTATCTAATTCACAATAGTTGGACTCGCTCTTCGTTTTGTCGAAATCCCGGATGAAAACGCAACGACCGAGGGTCGTGAAACTATAGATTAGCTCATGGAAGTTGCCTCTGTACCGTTTCAAAAGATATGGCGTATGAAATGTCATCATCAGTCACAACCACGCTCAGAATATCGCTCAACCATGGTGAAAGACAGGGCTTGCACGCTAGGCAACAGCTGTTGCCCGAGTTAGTTTTTAAGGCAGAACGACGTCTGACGTTTTGCGCTGACTGACGCCGTGGAGTCTGGACAACACCTGCGAGAGATCTGTTCTTTTGCAGACAGTATGCGAACACTCTCTGGTGCAGTAGCAGTACACGCTGATGCCTATAGCTGTGTCTGGTGAAGAGTCCGAGAGGCGTCATGTACCCTTAATGTAAACAAGATTGTTTGAACGGAATCGAGCGCCTCAAAGGAATAAACGCGTGAAATGTATGCGTTGTTCGACGAGGTTAACGTCCAGTAACTGCACCTCGCGCACCAGTGACTCACAGTGGTGTATAACAAGAAATCAACGGGATAACGAGGCCACGCGCAAGTCTTTACCAGGGTTGCTGCAGCGCTCTCGAATACGAGTCCTTTTTTTTATGTCTTTGTAGAATTGTTTCCAGCCATACGTGCGATGTCATTGTGAATCGCTTCAAGACCATGTTTCTAAGCATTAAACCAAACACTTGAGACATTCACTCTGTTCACTTAGCGCGTAGTTCCGAACAAGTTGCTGGTAAACTGATCTTAAAACTGTAAGGAATCCAGGGATAAATAAGCGTTGTTCTGAAAGAATAAATCCAGTTAAATATGAACCTAAATAGTGAATATAAGTATCAAATATGAAATATTGTCAACGAAGTATGATAAATGAAAAAAAATTTTTTTGGACAAGCAGAGAAAAGGTTTTACGGGAGGGATGCGTCAAGGAGCTCTCGGACTTATTAATTTAGCTGCACCAGCATATAAAACCAGGGGCGTGCATTCAATCTTGCAATGCATTGCCAAGCCGCGCGAATCCTTGAGCGAGGACCCAAGACAACCTTTCTTTGTAGGGCTGAGGAATATCTTGTATATCAAATAAACCAAGCCCTGCTCTTCAGGGAAGGCACAGAATAGTCCGTAAACTGGACCAAAGCGCTTTTGTCACATCTTATGCATGTCATAACCGACACTTGGAAGCACCGGGTCCTGTGCAAGGGGACGGTGGAATCTTGAAGCGACGAAGAGTATTTGGAACACGAATCACTACAAGGCTGCAACTGTCGAAATGCTGTGCTTTTACGCGTGAACGGTAGAAACCTTATCGACATTCTTCCTTATATCTTTCTCTAAAGGTGGGTCACGTGTTCCGGTCCCTGCGTCCCTACACCATCCCCAACGAGCGGGACAGCCACGCGCGCAACACGAAACGCGCGGCCGAGGTGTGGATGGACGAGTACCGCTTCATATTCTACGAAAGGAAGCCCATCTTCAACGAGCTGGACGCGGGAGACCTGACGGAGCGCAAGCAGCTGCGCGAGGACCTCAACTGCCACAACTTCCGCTGGTACCTCGAGCACATCTATCCCGGTGAAGTGCCGCCGGTGCCCCAGGTCGTCCACTCGCCGCTGGCTGATGACGGCGTGGAAGAACAGACCGTCGAGCACGAAACCTGAGCACATCCGCAAACGGCGGCGCTTCTAGAGGACTCTATATAGCACCAGGTGGTGCGGTCAGACTGTATACACCGCCTCCAAAATGCTACCTAGAAGACGCCAGGCCTCCGTGCTTCGTGTGTGGCATGCAATTTCAGTGACGCCATGAAGTGTGGCCAATTGTTTATATATGGCTAAATTAAAAAAAGAGAGAGAGAGACTGGCAATATAATGTTCAGAGGTGTAACGAACGACAGAACCACTTCGTATGACAGTGTTTTGAGGCTCGATGAACGGCAGAATTTCGAGCTGGTTGGTATGTACACTGTAAACAAAAGTTAGCCGAAATGGGAGTTTCTCCAGCACATGAGCCCACTAAACTCCCCTGCCCCAATTATTTACTCCCTGGTAGGGAGTGAACTCGGCACATGTCATCGTAAAACGCCCCCTCCTTAATCACAGAGTTTATGAACGACATGACCTTGTTAAACTCCCCAGGGAGTTTCAGGTCACGTGGTTACAAACTCCCTATAGGAGCTTTAAAAACCCTCTTTGGGCGTGACTTGCGTGCGTGCGTGCGTGCGTGCGTGTGTGTGTGTGTGTGTGTGTGTGTGTGTGTGTGTGTGTGTGTGTGTGTGTGTGCGTGTGCGTGTGTGTATGTGTCTGTACGGGCATATGTTTGCACGTCGGTGTGAAACACATGTGATTTGTGTGGCTAACCGTGTAAGCATCTGTCAACAGGCAACGAAATTATAAGTGCAGCGAAGAATAGCAACGGCCGGTTGGTATTTACTGGGAACATTTCAATATATTTCGCACCTTTAAACCACGCTGCACATCAGTCCGATTCCTCAACGAAACGTCGTGAATGCCGCGCTTCAAAGGGCCGAGTAACAAAAAACTTCGAAGAATAAATTAATGGTAGCAAAAGTAAGCTGTTACGATCGTCAGCGGCTGCTCCTGGAGTTTCACCATCAGAAACTTCGAAGTGGTTTGAAGTAGGCTTCGCTCGACTACGGCAGGCTGGCCGGCAACCGGTCTGAGAGTTGCGCCGGCGACGCGCTCGCCCCGTCTCTGCCAATAGTGGCTTCTCGGAGTGTCACCGGTATTTCACCGGCTGTAACATCTAAGTGGTAAGAAGGCCTCGCTATGCCGTCGGTATCAAGCCGGCATCGTATCGAACTCGCACTGTGCGCTGGCCACCGCGGCAAGCGCTACGAGCTAGCACCGACCACCGGCGATGCAAAGAATGTGTTTCACAAAAAATGAAGGCTGCTGGGATGTATAACAGTCTTCTGCGCCTTGCCACCGCAGCTGTCAATGACTAACTACAAGGCGAGCGCCGAACGAGGCGGAGTACGATCGTCAGCGATTGCACCGTAAAACTTCGAAGCGGTTCGAAGTAGGCTTCGCTCGACTACGGCAGGCTGGCCGGCAACCGGTCTGAGAGTTGCGCCGGCGACGCGCTCACCCCGTCTCCGCCGATAGTGGCTTCTCGGAGTGTTACCGGTATTTGACCGGCTGTAACATCTAAGTGGTAAGAAGGCCTCGCTATGCCGTCGGTATCAAGCCGGGATCGTATCGAACTCGCACTGTGCGCTAGCCACCGCGGCAAGCGCTACGAGCTAGCACCGACCACCGGCGATGCAAAGAATGTGTTTCACAAAAAATGAAGGCTGCTGGGATGTATAACAGTCTTCTGCGCCTTGCCACCGCAGCTGTCAATGACTAACTACAAGGCGAGCGCCGAACGAGGCGGAGTACGATCGTCAGCGATTGCACCGTAAAACTTCGAAGCGGTTCGAAGTAGGCTTCGCTCGACTACGGCAGGCTGGCCGGCAACCGGTCTGAGAGTTGCGCCGGCGACGCGCTCGCCCCGTCTCCTCCGATAGTGGCGTCTCGGAGTGTCACCGGTATTTCACCGGCTGCAACATCTAAGCGGTAGGAAGGCCTCGCTATGGCGTCGGTATCAAGCCGGCATCGTATCGAGCTCGCACTGCGCACCGACCGCCGTGGCGAGCTCTGCGAGCTATACATGCAATGCATGCGAGCAACGGGAACAGCGACTGCGAACCGTCTCATTCGTTTAAGTCTATCGCTCCGTAGCTTAAACTGCGTGGATAGCGGACACCTATTTCTGTGCATGGGAAAAACGAGACGTAAACTGCACATCAGCAAGCATTTGTGATCGCCAGCTGTCATTCATCGAATCACCGTGCCGTACTCGTGAGTGAGGCCTAGTCGTCGAACGCGGTAGCGGCGGTCTACCTCGGTTCATCGCTGGAGCTGCTGAATGTGCCTCGTTAATGTGTTCATTCAAGGCCGCGCGCACTTTGTGTATGATTCAGTGCATTTTACGGGTCCACAAACAGCACTGCTGATGCGAATTCAGCCTGTACGACAGAGCGTCAACTGATAAAACTTTTTCGTTATAGTAAAAAAATATTAAATATTAGGCAGGATTAGGATAAAAGGCATGTGTGTTGAAGTGCTTACATCAGACCACCGCAAGTTCATATTTACGCCGTGCGTATTTATTGCTTAATTATTAGAAACAAAAAGGCTTTAACCTGGGCTACAGGAGGTCAGAATGTGGTGCCTATATATACTCGGTGACTATAAGGTAGGTGTGTACTGCGTGTGGCAAGCTGTGGTGAGTGCGAGTGTTGTGATATTACGTGAACGTTGTGATAATGTTTGTGTACTTTAATTAAGTTAAATGTATTGTATTAAATGTAATGTAATTAAAGTTACGCTTGCGCATGGTACGGCTGCTGACGTAATTTTTTTTCTCGGTCAATGCAAAAAATTTACTCCCATACTGACCTGAAAAAGTTCCCCTATGGATGTAAATAAAAACCCCCCTGACACTATGCGAAAACCCCCTTCTGATGGGGAGTAAATGTTTTACTCCCAGAGACGGGTTTTTTAAAACTCCCATCTGGGTGTGCGCTAGAGGACAAGGTCATTTACTCCCATTTCGGCTTATTTCTGTTTACAGTGTACAAATTAATAATGAAAGTTGGCGAAAAAGCACGTATACAAAAGCAAATAAGCACGAACGCCGGCTCTTCTTCTGTGTCCGCGTCTGCAGGCTTACGTTGTTTTAGAATTACAAACTTGGGAGAGTTACATTTGTGGTTAAATCGATTTATTATGCTTTACCATAAATAATTGTCCATTATTATGAATCTGAGAGGGCTGGAGCGCGTGATAAGCTCTACGCGGGAAAGTATCAGTTAAAGGGACCCTGCAACACTTGCTGAGCACGGTCAGAAAACGCTGCCGATCGGTAGTAGAGGCTCCTGACAACACGCGAGCCCAATATTATAGCGCAGCTCGCGAATTGGAATTCACAATAAATCATCAGAGTCAGCTAAAAATAGCTTTCTATTCTCTCGACAAATCACGGAATAAGCCCAAAAATCGCTCGTAGTAAGCCCATCTATCAGCCATTGGCTGATTTTAACATGGTGCACTCGGTTGTTAAAAAGGTCGCCGCGAGAGGCCATCACTTTTCCACACGTGCGCGCGCGATTGCATTGAGAAAGCCGCGTATTCGAAGAAAAAAGAAAATGAAAAAAGGGCTCAAGGTCACGAGGCACGAGTGACGTTTTTTTGTTTGCCCCTCCTATCCCTCCCTGCTCAGCTTCCAGCGCTTTCGTCGGGACAAGAGAAGAGAAAATGCGATTTCATCGTGTGACAAATCCTTGTAACACCACTCGTACTGGAGAGATTTTTAAAGTTTGCGGCGCTGAATTTGTGAGGCAATACGCTTTTTCCGTGAATTAATTCCACGGTTACTCAAAAAAGTGTTTAAGGGCCCCTTTAAAGGGCTCGTTCACACCGCAGGTGTCCAAGGGGGCGAAGCGGAATTTTAAAGCGGCGAGGCGGCGTGTGCGCTGTTACGAAGCGCGCCTCCAACGACGTTACGAAGGGCGCCACGAACCTCGCCGCTGCAACCACTGTTTACGAAAGACGGCGACGCCAACACGGTCCAGAAGGCGCCACTGCTTCGATCTCCGCCGACACGGTCACCAGCCGTTTGGTAGCGTAGGTTTCTCAGCTCACGACTTCTGCGCAGAGCTGATAGACGAGCGGGCGGGACGACGGTGAGTTAAACAATGTTTATGTACAGCATATATACAGAGGCGTTACAAATTCGGCACTGGGGCCGACAGCTTAGAGACTCGAAAAACCGAGCTCTCTCCTCTGACACATAGATCTACAGCTCGCGACGCGCCGCGGGGCTTTTTTTTTTTATATGCACCGGATGGATTCTTTGAGCAACCAAATGTCCAACCAGAAGCGGCGCTGGTCGTGAGGTCAGAATCCTCCAATGGGGTCACCGCTGGGCCGCGTGATTCTCATCAAATACGGAGCCGCTGCACGTGGCTGCACCCAAGGACGAGTGACGTCGCCACGCATTGCGTAAGACTCGCCAGACAGGAAGGCGCCTATTGCTGCAACGGGCTCGTGGGCTGAGGTGGCTCGCTGTGCGTCGCGCGACAGAAAGGCGCCGCCACGTGATGACGCCGTCGAGTTGTTCGCGTCAGGCGGGCTCGCGTGCTGGCCTTGACACAGATTGCCTTTTTCAAATGCATGGACGTTCGATGTGGACTCGCAGGCATAACAGCGCGTACCTGGTCAGACCACGCGGCTCGCCCGGCTGCCCGCGCGATCGAAAGGGTGGGAAAATTTCGCGCTTTTGCGGACGTATGACCATCACGTGACACTCCTTGTCCTGTCTCGCCAGTCGCCGCCCGGAATATGTACGGTGTGCTATAAAGCTCGTCGCTGTTCAGGTTCCATTTACGCCGATAGTATACCCGATCCACTCTAGAAGGTTTCGGGTCGTTTCCGGCTTAACATTACGCCAGCGCCACCATAACATGGCATTCTTATTGACTACAGCAAAACGGAGAAAAAACTCCCAAGCATTTCCCCGAGGGTGAACATGGTTAAGAGCGAATACACGGGGTGGTGCTATGAGGGGTATTTATTAATTCGCACTATTATAT